GCGCATGTCGGCGGTGTTCTTCGCCACAGTCTTGGGGGTGACTGTGGCCCACCCCCAAACAATCGGCACTCGGCTGCGGCGTTTCCTGCACGAGGCCGAACAGACGCGCCCCTCGCGGACGAAGTTCCTGCGCGAGGTGAAGGCGACGCTGCTGTGGAACCCTCCGCCGCGTTCTTCCGGAAAGCTTGCCGCGGAGGAGAAAAACCCCCGCTCCAAAAACACCGCCCCCCTACCATCATCAGAGCAGGAGGGGCGGCGAGGAAGAAGGACACGGCACGGGAGAACAAACAAAGGGCTGCGCTGGCTACGCGCGGCGCGAAGCGGGCACCCAACAACAGTGTCACGACGAAGAGGAAGGCGACGGTGTGCATTGACGACGGCGTGAAGGCGTCCGCCCCACCACCAGTGGTGAGGAAAAAGCCTCGAGCGGCAAAAAGACGGACGCAGAAGACGGCTGCAGCGGCAGCAGCGGACACTAACCGTACGACGCCACTGCCAGCAACAACACCAACCAGCCGTGCGGCCTTTGGCGACACGACAGCAACACCCCCTTCGGAGAGGCAATGTGCCTTTTCCGCAACGAGAAGGGGCTACAACAACACATCTGCGAAGCAACCACAGCGAGGCACTGCGGTGCTCGACAAGGTGGAGGAGATGCTCAACGAGGCCGCCATCTCTGAGAGTATGGCGTCACGGCGACAGATATGTTATTTTCTGGTCGCGTCGGCCCTGGTGAACGTTGGCGAGAATGGGCATCGCTCTCTCGCGGTTCACTGCATTGGCCAACAGGTCTACCGCCATGGCTTCTCCCCACAAACGCAGTACGACGTGGGTGAGGCTCTGGCGGCGATGGGGCACGAGCTGGACTTTGTCACGCGTGACCCCGTGACGGGAAATGTGGCTCTGCTAGAGCGAGCCTCGCGCAATCCCCACGAGGCGATCTACGTCCAGGGCCCTCTTTCCTATCCGCTCCCGGAGCACCTTGGCGATTATACCTTCCGCATTGGTGCCCGATTCCGGGGCGAGGTGGGGCCGCATGGGGCCTCACAAGGGCATTACTCCTTGACGAGGCACGCACATGAGGCGGTCCTGGGTGTGTATCTGCCGTCGTCCTGGGTCACGTACCCGGCGGACATGCGGCGCCTCCGCACGAAACGCTCCAGGGTAGACCAGGCAGCAACAGCAACAGCAAAAGCCGCTGCCGTGCCCCTAGGACAAATGCGCAGGGGCCTCCCACCGTTGTGGGACGGGTTGGCGACGACAACACACGATCGCACAACACAGCAGCAAACGAGGAGCGAGAGGTTTACGGAGGCAACAACAACCCGCAAACAAAGACCCGCGCATCCTATATTCTTTTCTCCCCGCCTTCCTCCCTCGTCCTTTGAGGCGCAACAAATGGAGGAGAGGAGAAAAAGAGGTTTCACCAACAACGAAATCGGCCCTAATACTGAGGAATCCGACGACGACGACGACGACGACAGTTCGGAAGAAGGGGCACTCCGAGATGGATGAGGCGCTCAGGGCGGCGGTGGAACAGTCTTTAAACGACGGCGGCAGGTGC